ACCACAGTATTACTCGTAATAATAATAACTTTCATTCGTTTGATATCTTATAAGGAAATATCTTGAAACTTTTTATTGTATAAGTTGAGAGGTTAAATAAAGTCGATATGATAGAAAGTATTTCAATATATAAAACATGACTATTCAACGAGTTTCATTAATAAATAATTACCCACCTTAACATGAAAATATGATTTTTGTTTCAGAAAATGGTAATTTACATCAACCATATAGAAACCAATATTACTGTCTAAGGTCAATATTATCACACCATCATATTGAAAATCTTTATAAATCAATATAGAAACTGGAAGATTACCATAGTTAAACTAATCTTTATTTTAAAGAAATCTCTTTAATTACGATTTTCTCTATCTATATCTCTTAAAATGACAGTAAGGCGTTATAATCTGAGCTTATTGTTGCTTTCAGATTGGTAAATAGAATCATAGCTTTGTTTAAAAAAAGCTCAGCAGAGATCAGAACGTGAAGAAAACACAGAAAAGTCCTAATAAACCGGCAAACTAACATTTCAGAGATACCGATTTGTATACCATTTATGAGTTTACAATAGAGCAGTTGATTAAAATGAGTTTATAACTTTGACGGATACCCAGAAAGAAAATAAATACCGCCATCGATAAATAATTAATTATCAGGACATAGACAGGTATTATCAAAATAATGAATAAATTAATTGTAACGAGGTCACTTGTCTAAGTGACTCAGTATTGCATGTACACTATTGAGATGTCATGCTGTTGAAGGTAGTCGCAGAAGATCGTAAGAGAAGGTTTTGTGGTGGTTAGCATTCATTAGCATGGCGCACTTACAATCCTGAAGGGGCCGATGCCTTCTATGGGTTTCAAACCACACTATGTCAAGTCACCTTGAATAGTGACTGGAATTTAGTTAGCATTAAAGAACTAGACGAACATGACATTTATCACCACTGAGTGATACAACTGGTGATGTTGTAATTTAAACGATTTACTCTTTTTCATTTCCTTGTGTTTATAGTTAAACTTAAATGACTTTAAGCCAAGTGACTGAGATTAAATTGAGATTTGGTTAATACTAGGACCTCATAATTCAGTCTATAGACCACCAGGATGACTAATTTGAAGTTCACTGGTTTGTACCCTACTTCACTATAAGTTTTCTCTTAACTTGAATCATTTCTTTAACTGGTCCCATATTGGCAACCATTACCATGTTGTTTAATCCTTAGTGTTAATCAAGTTGTATCGACCAAGTTTGGGCATATATCTTACCGATTTAAAACCACTAGCATGAGACTTAGGAGTTTTCTGCCAACTCTCGTCAAGTAATTAACTCCAATTATCACCACTCATTAAAAAAACTGAGCTATCTGAAGATATGGATTAATTAATAACTTATTAATAATTATTAACCAGAATAAAGATTACAATTATTATCGATCAAATTCGATCTAACATCTAACAATAAATACACTTGTACACATAAATGCGAGTGATATTTGATCAAAAACAGAAATAAATTGAGTTCTCAGATCATTAGTCTCTATAATGAACTCTTCACAGTACCTGATTTTGTTTAGTAAAACAGTAATTTTCCATAAGAAATATCATGCTTTGTTGATGCCAAAAGATAAATTAATTGACAGAATATGGAACTGTAGATTATTGTAGCTTTAAAAATTGCCCAGTTAGATGATCATACCTAGTTTATGACGAGTGATAATAATCAGAAAATAACAAATCATCTAGATCATGTAGTTCATTGATTCAATTAGTTAAAAAAGTAGTAATCAGACCACCTACTGATTTTCAATCTTTGTATCCTTCTATCTTGAATAGTAATAAAAGGATTTTTATTTACTGCAGTGATATACATTTTCTGTGGCTTTTTTTTAGTTCTTGTATAATGAACACACAGAAAATAAGCCAAAATTTTAGAACTGATATTCATTGAATACATAACTGAAGTATGAAACACCATAATTTCAACAATGAATTGAATGGAATGATGATACATTATCTATACAGATATCTCTTGATCTGAAATCAATATCTCGGTTTATTCTGTTGCTATAGCTCGTAATGATTGTTTTTACTGAACGAAATACTGTATAGTCGTGGTACATTTTTGTAAGTGCTGTAATGAAATGATGACTTTCTCCTCAAAATGCTTTGTGAACTATTACATAATTTAACCCACTAAAAATGATAACCTTCTCAATCTTTAATGAAATTCATTAGAGATTTAAATAGAAATCTCATTTCCAATAATTTAACGATCAATCTTTTATCGAAAAAGTAACTCACCATTTGAATTAGACTATATAAATGACATATTCCTTAGCGAGATGTGATATTTTTGAATACACTGAAGAGAATATCAAAAGTATTCGACAAGAATGGCAATATAATAATATATTTATGATACCCCGATGAGTGGAAATTTCAGTTTTTGACATTTTGTAAATCAGTTTAAGTTAATTCTTCCGAGATTAAATTTATTCAAAGAAACACGCTTAATTCTATTCATTTCTCACACTATTACTACCTACAAACTAACGTTTAACCTCTACTTCATATGAAAAATTTCACATTTTTCTTACTCACTTTTGAGGATACTAGATCCTTGGAAATTACTTAGTACACTCCTCACTTTTGTAATCGTATTATGGTAATTTGAACACCTCATTTTCGCGCCAAAGGCCTCATTTTTATCCCCCCCCAGTTTGTGCTTCCAAACTGAAAGGACCTTATGTATCATTGGTTTGTTTCCTCCTTTAGTACGTTATTTTGTGAAGTTTTTTAACGGACACTTTTACGTAGTATATATACATATGAGTTTTGTGCTTGTTCGTTCATTCTTGCAGACTGATTGTGGAATATATATATATATTCCGGTTGCATCTGGATTTCTCCCTTTAGTTAGCAGCGCTGGGGCGCATTGCAATAGCTTACCTTGTTTTGTTGTTGCGTTGCTGACTTTTGTTCCATTTGTCGGTCCTAGGTGATATCTTAATACCTCGAACATCGCACCCATCTTCATACACACAAATACACACAGTAATGCACAGTCTCCTTGATCAAATAATTGACATGAGATTGATATAAGCAAACTTATTTTGGTTTGAACTGAACTAAATAATATGCTTTGTTTCTCTTTACTTCTTAAAATTTACTTTAATTAGGTTATTCATTTACTTACTCAAGAATTAACACAAAGTAATTTCAAAGATACCAGAAATTGCAATTTCTGCTCATTGGGACATCATAAACATATAATTGTCTTATTATTAACATTCTATGCAATTCTCAATTTATTTGAAGTTATCAATCCAAAACTTGATATTGATATACTTGACAAGACTTCACTCATCTGAAGTGACAGCTACACCACCAGAAGGAGTAAAGAAGTTACATGTGTACTGTTTCACCCATCATATGGGAACCTCAGTCAGTTTGACTTTTATCAGATTACTGTACCTATGAAGGTCACGAATTATCTAGTGTGTCACATAATAATACATTTAATTTTAATCCATGTTTTAAATATATCTAGTGTGCAACTAACCTTGTTAATGAATATTGTAGAAATTGAAACGAACTTATTAAATCAATGTGGTGGATAAGATTGGTTGGATCCCTTTTCAATTTCTAGCATTTCCCTTTAACTTTAGGTTTTCTTTAATTTCAAACGTTGTTTATATATACATGAATCAGTTTACTCAACCAAAATTTATCATATTGTTCAACTATACAAAACAATTATAAAACCTAAAACAAATTTAATTTATGTTTAATCTAGTGAACTTTTTACAGAAAGCTAACAGAAACAAACAGAATGAATTTCATCGACCTCCAATACAAGAAATATAAGACAATTTATTAATAATCCATGCCGTTGATTCGTCACTTTCATTGAAGATTATCTGGTTCGGGGAAATATAAATTCCCTCTTATTAATACTATGATTTTAAAAGATAGCGACTTATTATATACAGTTTGTGTACCTTATCTAAGGAGATTATAATTTATGAATGAACTAATCAGATATGAGATAATAGGTCTCGGATTTTGACGCAAAAATTCATTCATCTATCGGACCAAATAGCGTTTTGACATGATAGCTATTATCAGTTCATGATAAAAACCATAAATATAATTCATAACTGTAACAATCAACTGTAAATCTTAATTGTAATTCCTCACATTGATTTATAACTCTTATTTCGTTTTAGTTACTAGGTAGACATTCTCAAAATTACTTTGTTATCTCATTAAGGTTGTCTATATATTTATTATAGTCTCATTATTTAAATCAATCACAGACATATTTTTATAAATCTTATATGATTAGTTGAAAATACCCTTTTTACATAATTAAACATTCAAATATGCAATTTTAACACTGATAATATTTAAATTAAATAAATGAGAAATTTCAATGTCATTAGTTCTTCTTTTTTTATGTTGATTAACAATTCAGTGTGATAATAATAAAATACACAGTCAAAATAAAAAAACATCCGTAAACATGTAAAAAAAAACATTTTTTTTTTGTAAAAAAAGATCAAATCATAAAGAGTAATGAAGTCAACTTTAATATAAATAAGATCAAAAGACTAATAATGATAATAATAATAATCTATAGTATTATGTCAGCAGAACATCTAAACTTTCAAATGACGATCGATCATGAAATAGACAAATGGAGAGAAGGAGCGAGAGGGAAAGAGTGAGGGAATGAAGGATGTAAATAACATTTTGTTTTTATATTTTCATTTCAATAGTACAAATTACCGAATCTTTGTTGTTGTTGTTGTCGTTGTGATCATTATTATTGTTGTTGTTTTTAAAAAATAGTTATAACTGCCGTTTAGTTTTTTTTCTTCAAAAATGTACATTTTTTAAAAGAGAAAAATAATGAAAGATGAATGCGAGAGGGGAGTGCAAAAATACTATTGGATCTGATTTGTTTTTTTTTATTTTCTGTTTTTTTTTGATTTCTTGATTCATTCTGTGTTTAGTTTTACTCACTTAGTAATAAAGTCAAAATATGACAGAAAAAAATAGTAGAGAAATATTAGATGATAAAATGATTAAACGACTAGAAATCACGATCTATTTTTTCACGTATAATTAATTCCCATTCTTGCCATGCATTTTTTAATTCTTTACTTAAACTATCAAATCGTTCATCCCAATTTACTGTACAACCTAATTCTACTGCAATATCATATAAAGCACGTTCAGCAAAATAAGCTAATGGTCTATTATTCATAGCATTCTCTTGTATTTGTCTAACTAATGCTGAATATGATCTTGAACAACGTTCAGCATCTAATATACGAAAATCACCTTGACTATGATGTGATTGATGTGGATGATAATTATTATGTGATAAACGATTATGTGATTGTATTTTAGATGATGATCCATCTGATGATGATATTCTACTTTGATTATCATCTAAATTTATATTACTTAAACTATTACTTAAATGATAATTATAAATTGATTGATTCATATCATTAATATGATTATTATTTTGTTCATCTAATGCTGATCTTATTAATTTACAAGCATTTAATGATTGAACTAAATCGAATAAATTTTCAATTGAATTTTTAAATACATAAAATTCATTCCATATAAAATAATCAATATCAGATGAATTTAAATTAAATTGATTTTTCCATTCACATATATCATTTAACCAACATAACATATAATTCATTAAATTTGTTGACCAATTTTGTCCATTTAATTGATCTAATTGTAATTCAAATAAACGTATTTGAAAATCCATCGATTGACATTTCACTATATCTTCATCAGTATAATTTAATTGAGTTAAGATTATTTTATGCGCTTTCCATAATAATAAATCACATAAATAAGCTAAATGTAATTTTTTCTCTAATAAACAAGATAGTTGTACTAATTTTCTTTCATTATTATTATGATTGTTTAATTGTTTTGATGACTGACATAATACTTTTAAATTATTTGGTGTAATTGTCGAAGCATTTAAATCACCATTTAATAAATTTTGATGTATTGCTTGTAATTTAGTCCATGCAATTTCACCTTGTGGTGTTTCATTAATTGAATAATATAATTTTAATTGTTGATCACGATGTGAATATAATAATTCTGTTGTTTCTCTTAATTGTTGATGTACATTTAACCATGTAGATCGTGTAACAGACATTTTACCAATTGAATTAATTAATTCTGTAGCCCATTTATATGTTGAACTACCACGTTCAATATATTCTGAAATTAACCATGATAATTGTCCAGTTAAACTTAATAAATTAAATGGTAATGTTGGTGTATATTTTGTATCAGTATTATGTAATCCATTTGTTGATAGCATAGATGATGATGATATTTTATGACTTTGTTGACAAAGACCACTTGCTACTGTAGCATGTGAACGTAATAAATCATTACGATTATGTCCAAGTGGATTCAAAGGTGGTGGAACATTATATGATGCTTTTTTACTTCCCATATTTGATGATTTTTTACGATTGATTAAACGTAAATTTTGTTTTAATCGTGTACCTTCTGTTTTACGTATTTGTTTAGATAAATTTAAAACAAATTCGGGCGTTGGACCATCATTATCACTATCACTTGTGGAATAGTCAGTACTTAGTTGATTACTACTCATTTCCCAACGAATTTGTGCCTCCTCATTTTTTTTACTATTTTCACATTTATCTTCAATATCACCTTCTCGTACATTACCATTACCATCAATATCGTTTTCTACATCATCACTATCATCATCTTCATCGTCGTCATCTTCAGGATAATGAATACTGAATTTAACACCACTTTCATTTTTACCAACTTTTTTCTTCTTTGAACGTAATAAAATCAGAGGATCTTTTAAAAATGTCAACATTGTATCATCTGCTTCATTAATTAATAAATTTTGTTTGCGTCGCATACGTTTTAAACTATTCACTAGAAAATTAATAGCAGTTTTATCTGAGGCTAAAATAGCTGTAGTGCATAAATTGATCAATGTTGTTACACGTGCATTAGTTGTATCAATACGACGTAGTAAACGATCAAAATTTATTGCATTTTTACTTAATGTACATGGTTCACATATTGTTTGTACATAACATTCAATCTCATTATCTCTGCCCTCTAAACTTAAACCCATTTCTTCTGGTGAGTTCATTAATTTATGTGCAAATTCTAGTTCACTTTCTATTTGTTGATTATTTAAATCAATTTGTATATCGGAATGAGATTTATTTAACATTTCATTTACATGCGATTTTGATGATTCTTCAACTGTTAAAAAAAAGAAAGAAAAAAAAGCGAAGAATAAACATAGATCATCCCCTGTCATAATATAAATATATATATTTATACATATACTTGCGCCTGTTACCACTCGGGAAGGAGCATAGGCCACCCACCAGGATACTCAAACCAACATTTTTCTGGGCAATCCTTTTCATATCTGTTTTCATTTCTCAACGCAATGTGTTCTTTGGTCTTTTTCTTTTCCGTTTATCTTCAGAATTCTAAGTTATCCCTTATTTCGTGGTGCTGTTTGATTTCCTTAAAATGTGTTCTATCCACTTCCAACGTCTTTCCCTAATTTCCTCCTCAGCTGGAAGCTGGTTTTTACTCTCCCATACCAGGCTGTTGCTGATAATATCTGACCAACGAAATATATATATATATATATATATATATATATATATATATATATATATCACTTATTGATACACTAAATACTCGTCTCTGTATCTAAGAAATTCAAACTCATCTTAGTTAGCTACGTCACATACAGTGTATGATGATAATTCCGATAAATTTTGATGAGTATATCGCAATGAACTCCTATACTTTTTAATAGCAATGCATTTTGTGTCCCCATGATATACTTTAAACATAATCTCATTTATTGAACTATTCTATATTGAAGCTGTACATTCTAAGTAAATGCATACCTGAAAAAATATAACCAATATATGAATTACTCAAGTGTGATCAATATCACATCGTTTATTTTTGATTATCAACCTTTAGTAAATGACCTTTTTAATTTAAGAATGAAGTATACATTCAGTCATAGATGCAAAGGTTCACAAATTTTAACTTATAAAATTGTCTAATTCACTAATACATACCTTATTTTGACTTGAGTGAAACAACTATACAGCTTGATGACAAAGTGATTGATAACAATTGTTTGCTCAAATGTTCTTTTGTTTTTAAAATATTCTATAGGGATTATTAAACCGTAAAAATCTATTTATCATGCACTGTAATTGTCACTATAGTTTTTAAATAATCTGACGTCACAGATCAATTTGATTTTTGTTTAAAAGTACTAAATACCTGTATGACAGTGGTTACTGATTGATTCGTCGAATAATCTTGCCATATGGAACATCATTCAACATGTGAATACCAGAGTAGTAATATCTGTAACCGTGGAGTCGATCAACTTAAGTTTGACTATCCAAAAATAGAACAGTTCCTTTCAGGTCTCAAAAAGCTGGGGTCAGAAGTCGAGAATTTTCTGACCTATCCCTACTACTTATTTAATAAAACGTTCAGTGATCGTACCAAAATGTACATGACATTTTAATAGACCGAATATATTTTTCAGGAATGTAGAGCCCCATCATTTATTAATATAATAAAAGGCAGTATTATTTTTATAAGCAGGTACTCATTAAATACACCTTGGTAAAAATAATCAAATAACACAGATAGGGATGACAATAATAATAATGATTAACCATTGTATACGTATACATATGAGATAATCGCTTACATTTACCAATCAGCTTCCGAAAAGAGAACTTTTTCTTCTCTTTCATTTTCTAAATAAATAATAACAAAATACAGAAAATAATCGGTTAAGCGCGAAAATGAAGGCAAGGTAACGACTGTTTACTAAGACTAAAATAATTATACATAGTTTATTTTCACTCAAAATATTATGTAAATATAATATATTGTAACCGTTTAGTATTCATGGTTTGATCAAACAATCAATCTTAAGCAACATAAATCCCTGTAGTTATGTTCACTGATTCTAGTTACCACACTACATCAGCACAGTGATATGCTTGAGTAGTATAAGTAGCAACAGCACCAGTGTTAGTAGAAAAAATCAAGCATAAAAGACGTGATTCGAGAAAAACATATGAATTTATGAAATTGTTTAATTTCAAATATAAAATTACGTTTGACGTTAGGGAAATTTTCAAATGCTTATTAGTAATCTATGTGATAATGAATATGAATAGCACAATAAATTACATGTATTTCATGAATCTGTCTTTGAATGAGGAAACATCTAGCTTGGTAAGCGTACAAGAAACAGAAAATGATAGCTTAATAATAACTGTCATCAAATCTTTTATGTAAATCACAATATAAATATCAATTAAAATAAACTAGCTTGATGGACAGAAATCACTTCTCATATTGCAAATTATCAATGCTAAGAACAGAAAATTTAATCGGTGTATAAACACAAACCCATGAATACACTGAATCATATATGTCGTGCGGCGAAGATGGCATTATTTAGACACTGAGTTAGAATCGACTAATCGATTTGCAACATGACACGACTACCATACAATGATATCAATGAGTAACAGCCTCGTTCCTCATATAATTGACTTCACAGATCATAGTTTCCCATCAACGATTTTGGGAAATAATTTCAGAGCTCTAGTTATTGATGTGTAAGTGATAATTATATCATTATGAGAACTATTTATGAAGTGAAAAATTATCCGAAAATCACTGAATCGGATGGCCCCAATTTCTTTAGATAGTGCTTTTAAATAAAAAAGTGTGCAGAATCTTGGAACTAGCATTAATTTTCTCTGGACTGATCAATACTAAGCTCCCGATAAAAACGTTTTACACCAACAACTTTCAACTATTCAAATTAAAAACAAAACTCTTAAATAAATCAGTTTTAATTGCCCATGTCATAATCTTCATAGACAGAGTTAACTATGAATTCAATAGAATCCAATGCAACTTTGAGAAACATATAGACATTGATTTCAAGCCCTCTTGAGGTCTTGGGTGAGCTTTGCTAAAGAGTCATCTTCAAGGATGAAACAGCTCTCCAGTGCTATGTGATTTTAATAGTACCCACACGCATTTGAGATTAAATTGTGATAAATACAACTTAAAAAGTAATTCTGATCTCAAGAGGCGCAATATTTTATGGTTTACTGTGTTTCAAGTAATCAAATTTTAGAGTATAAATTCAAACTTAATCCCACCTACTTTGGATTTGAGCAGCCTGATGGTGAGTAATATTTCTGAACCTTATAATTATTTATGTGGTGGAAATTACAATAAGTGAGAATATACTTGATAGTCGAGTTGCACAATCTTCTGGACATCCGACTTTATTTAAGCTTGATGTCAAAAAACATTAGCTAAATTAAATACACTACGTAGACCTTTTGCCCGTCTTATGTACTCAACTTGAAACCATATTGTTCATCTAGACCAGTCATAATACCATACAATCCTAAGCGCAGTAAGAAGTGAAAGGTCCCCTGAACATTCTAATATTCTTCCAAACATTTATGGTTCAATCCTATTTGTTTTGATTTTGTATTCGTGTACTCTTCTACTTAATACATGATTCTTTTCTTTTAGCACCAGATAAGCAGACAAATGGAAATAACCTTTCTTTCAAAATTACAATTCCATCCATTAGTCATGATTTCAGTATTTAACAAGTCTTTTTGACAAGATCTAGCAAAGTTATACAACTCACTAAGTTTGTAAGATAATTCAAACAGAAGTTGTGGTATGACAGTAATTTAAAGCAGAGAAATGAATTATCAATCGAGACAAATACTGCGTTAACTCTATCTAGTTCATTTTGATTACTTACCGACAGAAACAGATTGTGAGTACTATTTACTTTACGTTATAGGTTTTGTTAGGGTTTCTTTTTTATTTTCTAAATCTATTTAGGTCGTTGTTATATCATTGGACACTAATTGGAAGTGAGTTGTATTGATTTTTCAAATATCGAATTTGTTTATTTTTTGCATTGGATAGTTTCTACTATGTTAAATTATTCAATTACAATAACAAATGAATAAACTACAATTTGGACATGATCATTCTATTATTTTCGAGTATCCTAGCTACATACTGGCTAAATAGAAGATTTTATTTTCAAATTTCAGTGCATTCATTTTTACAATTGCAATAGTTATTTAGATACGAGTACATTGAATTCAATAATGTTTGTTGTGTTTATTTTGAAAAAAAACTTCCGAAAATATAACAAAAAGTTGCAATATTTAGAGTACAATATGTTTATATCCAAAAAAAATGTTTCTTTTAGATGCCTGGATCAATATTTCCTAAAATTCAGTTCATCAGATGTACTGTCAATGGTTAGCTAGTCACCCAGACATAAGTTTATTAATATAAAAACTCATTTACTCAAAATGATTTTAATTTTTGTTTCATGGTTTTGATACAGTAAATAAATATGTGAACTGACGTGACCAGTATCTGTTTGACTCTTAAACTTTAATTCTTGTATATAGAAAATGAATAATCATATCCCGTATCAATGAGAAAAAAATTATTATACAATTCACTTTATATCCAATTGTATTAACCTGTTTTAGTTCACTCATCAAAGTGTATTACAAAAATAATACAGTAGATTTTCTGTTCTAGAAATTTTCGACTAGATTGCAATGAATCAGTTATAATTAAATTCCGTGAATACTGTAGAATGTTCATAATTTACATCATGAACTGACCTTCGCCAGACAACTATTGAAAATATAGAAACACTGGATGGCCATTTAGTTCTAGTATGGAACTCGTCCTGGGGGATCAATTTATGATTTAAATTACGAAAACCATATTCAATTTATTAATATAATATCAGTGAATTTTATGTCGGAAAAAAACTTACAATTTATCAGTATTGTTCAAAAATTTCAATATTACAATAACTAGGAAATGTTTGTGAGTCCGGTTTTACTCAAGATAAATATAGCTGAGTCAATAGTTATTATCCTTTTGATCAACCAATAAATCACAATCAAAACAAAAATTGTTTGCATCTAGTGTGTATAATTGTGAACATTGCATTTATATACACTCCTATTATGCTGATTTATTTCAATCAATGTTGTCGTTAGTGGTGAGACTATAATTTATGATTCTTTAAGGTCATTTGATGATATAAATTACAAAGGTATTTCACTGAAGGTTTCAAGTGTATACTACTTTTTACAGTTTGCGACACAGAATAAATAACCCGTCAATAGTTAGAAACCAGAATCAGCAATGGACAGCGATTTGGTATTGATACAGAACTGTATAGCAGTGCTGAACCATGAATCCATCAGGGGACGAATCAAAGACCCTCAGGTCTCGTAGCCAGTCATAAACCACTAACCCTCTGGGTAATATCCTACAGTATGAATTTTTAACTTCACTCAGTAATTTAGCATGATGGTTGTTGAATGTCATTTGAAACAACTCTTTCACTACTCATATATCTGAATCATACCTATTCGGACTTCCTATCGGAACCCTAGAAACTTAATCAATAATTTGTCAATACTAAGCTGGAATATATAATTAAAACCAATACTCCCACTGTTTAAGAGTCTTAATAATAACACTTTTTTCTAAGATATTGAAAAACGTAGACATGAATTTTCCTGAAAAATGTGTAGAAACAAGTTTCTATAATCTCCTTTTAACTGAACCATATGAATATATGTTGACAGACAAAAGAAAACCTTAATCTAATAGAAATTCTTCATAATGACTTAAATATACGACAGAGAAAATATTATGATCTATGTTGAAATTGCTGATTTTCATTAAGGTTTAAGTAATATAACAAGAAATATTCAAATACTATGACTTAAATAGTTTATCAACTAAAATTGGATTGTCAAAGTTAAACAGCTGTAAAGCCACTTTACATGTGTCAAACTGAACTAATTATTACCGATGCATCGAGATTAGATTAGTTTAAAAAATAATTTATTCCTGTTCTCCCTGTCATAATAAAAAAACGAACTAATCCTATAGGTATCATTACCAAGGTTTGACTTGATAATTTTGAATAAATTGAGCATTGGGTAGATTGTTATAAATAAATTTATTATATTTTGTAATATCCCAATGAGTAGAAAAATGAAGTTTTCTGACGTTTCGTGACTTAGTATAAGCCATTTCTTCAGAGAATAACCAAATTAAAATTAATCTAAATTTGGTTTATTTGGTTATTTATTCTCTATGGAAATGGATTACATTAAGTCATGAAACGTCAAAAAAATCTAGTTTTTCTACTCATTGGGATAATACAAAATATATTATTTATTTAAAACTAATCTTATTAAAATTTAGCCCCTTTACATGTTGAAACCTTTAGACTAACCTCTAAATAAAATTTTCTTAAATCGTTTAAATCCATTTCCACATTAAATTAAAGTTAATTAAATGAATGATAATGATAATAATAATAATAACTCGATGTTACTTAGAACATTTTAGAAACGAAAAAAAAAAATAAAAATGGGAGGAATTTTTCTCAACGGTCATTTTCATTGGTTACACACAAATTAAAATAGAAATAGACATTTTCGTTTTTCAACCAATCAATCAATTTCAACGCCCAGATCGTATATACACTTCCCCTATAGGATTCGAATACAAATAATAATTTCTTTTTTTCCATAACGAAAAAGAAATCTGATTTGTTTTATTTTATCAACTTTTGTTTTATAAATAAGTTCTCTCTTTTTTAAAAAAAAACATTTAAGGCATTTGTTTACTTAAATATCTTTTTGAATTGGTTTACATACATGATCACAGTTTTAGTTTAATGGAAACAAAATACTACAGAATCTCTAACAATATTGATTTCAACTATTATTATTATTATCATTACTCTCCACTGTTTGTATGTACAAAGATTGTTTTCTGATAGATCTGTCTGTTATGAAACTAAAAGATATCTGCAAATGTTTTAATCATTAGTTGAAACAATTTTAATAGTCGAAGAAATTTGAATAATCGTCCTATTTTCGTTTTTACGACTCAATAGTGTTCATTATTAACTGTTTCCAGGAAAGAAAGAAGAATATGTTAGTTCTACAAGAAGTTTATTTGCTTGAGGCTCTTCAGTTAAAATTCGAAAATAATAAGTCCTGTAAATGGTTTAACACTACTTTGTTTGTAGATATAAGTATCCATATATAGTGTACTAGGTCTAAATCACTATATGTGTCATTTGTTTACCGGTTGATGGTTGACTAATGGGCTAATATTGTCAATAAGTTTTTTAAAATCAACTGTACATCTAGGATTAAAACATATTTTCGCTGAAGCTGGAAACCAGCAAAAAGCTGTCAAGTTTCATGGACCACAATTAGCTGACTAACTAAAATAGTGTAGAGCATGAAACAATAATTTATCAGTTCAAGTGGTAGAGCTACATAATATTAAAAAAAAGCACAGAATCGAGAAAATAATTGTTTAAAAAAAGTTGGCGGGAATAAAATAACAAAATGTTTAGTTTAAGAATAAAAACTATTCATTTAGGTTTCATTCATTGATTTTCGGCCATGTCAACTAGTAGATCCTGGTAACTTGAGATAGTTAGTTAAAAATTGTCCCACTTATCTTACAACTAATACTAATAAATTCAATTTCCTTGGCCTATGTGTTAGTAAATTATTGATAACTTATAATTAGATATCATTCCTAATGATTCTTAGACTGTTAATTCAAATACTTTTTCTGTAAAATATCTACATCCAGTTCATATGAACGGTAGATTATCCACAATATCATAAACACTAATTATTTATTCCATATTCAAAACTACATTTCCTCACAACTATTGACCTATAAAATTGAAGACATCTGACTCAATTTCTCCCGTTATTCAGTATTCTGAAATCCTACAAAACTAATTAGTACCTGTCTATGAAAGGTAAAATCAATAAACCTTTTTTATATCAAGTGGTCGACTTAAAAAAATTTATGTCTTGCATAATAAAACGGTAAATCAGTTTAGAATGTTAAATTAAAAGCTAATCTTGTCTTGTCTTGATCAAAGATTATTTAACAGAGGATACAAAATGTCCATTAATTGAAGCAATTCGTTGCCCAGATAAATTTGTTTTATATGAAACGTTTAAAATCAATTGGATGAAATCAGCTTAATTCTGGTCAAATGTTATTTATGAGACATTACTATGAGAAATATCTAGAATCTATATTTACATAGACCAGTGGTTATAGACACTTTAATCAAGATATCTGTAAAGCGACTGACCTGCTTCAGTAGTGGATTGTAAGAAATGCGAGATTTCAAATATAATTATCCATCGACATTCGTCAGTCTGAAGTAGGAGAATTATCATTCACTAACGATTTTTAGGTACTAGCCTTTCATCAATTACTTGTTTTCAAGAGGAAATACACCATTGACTTGCTTAATTTTTTTAAAAATACACTTTCTTTGATGTATCGATAAGTGAAGAATAATTATCTATAAACAAAGACAGCAATATATGTAATCATATCAACCACATACTTACTTACAACTTCGTTGAAACTTCTTAATTTTGTAAAGTGAAATTTCTTTCGATAACTTCAATTTTTAATTAGTTTAAAAGTACTTTTAATCAACTTTGATCATACTGCATTATAGATTAAATATGTAAAACTGTAAAAATGTAAACTAATTTACACTTTTTTGGGTGAATGGTGAAACAATACGACCTGCTATGCATACAGACAACTAGGTGTATTAATTTTATTAAAAAAATATCCGAAAATACTGCATTCAGATAGGTCAGTTATTAATTGACATATCCATTTAGACCTAATCCATCAATTCAGACAGAAATGGTTACATGGTCAGTAGTTAAAAAATAAAACGGCTGATGGCAATGTTAAAACAAACAAAGATGAAAAACCTGAGAAAAATACCAAAGGCAAATAATATAATCAGAACGAATGGATTTTATGTATTTAGACTAATTCTAAAAGTATCATTTCTTTTTATAGTAGGCCGTGTCGACCAGAACGACAATGAAATGTACATGATGAAATTATCAACCTGAGATAGAGTAACTCCTCCCAAACTATCCACCTGGTGTATAAATATTGTGAAATATTTTAACAATCGAAGCTTCAATTATCATTTGGAAGAAAACCCAAAACCTTTCCTCTTAATTAAAATAAGTGAACTGAAATATTTTTATTATGATATCTCTTAACGTATTGTTCACATGAGATCAAGCTAATAAATCTTTAAAATACGCAGTCTACTTTTCACTATTCAGTAGCATACGTATATGTCGAATAAAATTACTACACTTCCACTCAACATTCAAAAGTACGTCGATGAAAAATTCTAAATGACATTAAGGTGAACATTGATAAGTTTATAAACTTTGGAATCCGTTCCATATTTAACATTTTTTCATGAAAAAATCTAACCATCTAGAAAACAACATTTCTAAGCTAATATCAAAGTAAGATAATTTAGTGAAGAAAACATTCTTCCCAACAATATTATTTTCTAAAGTTGTTTAATCGTATTTATAGTTTGTTTTAAACATGTTAGTCCGTAAAAAATAAGCAGGTATGGCATTATTTCAAAATTTTACTTAAGTAACATAATAAGAAAAGTTGAGGGTTACCGGAAAGAAAGAACATATGATTTGATTGAAATAATGAAAAATAAAATATTAATCAAATTAAGCGATTCATAACCATTTTTTGACGGTAACTTTTATACTGACTTAGAATGAATATTTATCGTCAAAATAATACAAGTCAATTCGGTTATATCATTTGATGTTGGCTTACAAGTATATTCTAGAATTTGAACTATTCTTGGATGAGGAATTACACAGTGAAACGGACAAAATGAAAATAAGTTGAATGGATGAAATGAATTTCATGATAAAAGTTAAAATAACAAATTATTCCCAACAATTTATTCCACTGATAGATTTGAACAGAGAAAGAATAATAACATTCATAGAATAAAATAAATTCATTTTATTATTGAACCTTTTAATCATCTGAAAAGTCTAAATATTCCTCCATTTAACTTCAGTCTGTCATCAACTAATGATAAGCTGGTTGTTTAAATTCAAATTATATATAAACACAACTTTTCATAAAGAATTTCTGTTGGAAACCAATTTTTTGGAATTCACTATAACAAGAATCAGAGTTATCAATAAAAAGAGCTAGGATTTTTACAAGATTTATACTAATCATAAGGACTTAACAATCATAATACACTTGTGAAGTAACATGTGAAATTTATCAAGGAAGCACTCATCTAACCATAGTTGAAAAGAAAAATTAGCTGATCTACTAACAGTAAAGTATTTATCACGAGACTCATTCCAAAGTTACAGTTCAGATACTTGAAAATCAAATGATGTCTGTGTATGAAGTTATCATCGATTATTGCTCAGTATCATAACATACTGTATTAGGAAATAAACATGCCACTTGGATGATTTAGTTGTGACTAACATGGTAATAATGTCCCAATCTTATGTTTTTGTAGTATACTACAGGGTGCCATAAATAATCCAGAACGTCAATAATTCACCTCACAAATATAATCCATGTCAAGTTAATGATTTACACTACTAAGAAATCTTCTGCTAGGACGAAACAGCTGCCTAGTCCCTGTTTATTTTTCAATGGTTTACTAGAGTGAGTTCGTGATGTTGAATCAAGAAATTCATCAATCTTCATAATCCTTTACTTTACAATAGTTATTTGAATAAAGTTTTCATTTCTCGTTTAGAAAAAACATAGTTTCATCCGTATATTATAGCATATACTATTACAGTTATTTTGATTAAAACATTTTTCAGTCAATGACCTTTCGTGCACTACTACCAGTAAAGCAAACTGACCTCAATCTATCGAGGATAAAATTTCACTTTAAGTGAATGCCGAAATGAACGAAGTGAATTTTCATTAGAATTTAATATTTTTATATAATTTCATTAATTAAAAAGATATTAAAAACTTTCTTATCCTTAAAATGAGCTTCATTTGCAAAT